TGTGTACTCTGTCCTTTCTGGACTTTACTCCCTAAAGGTTAGGGAGATAAAACAGTAAGACCTGGTGGGATTCAAGAAAGTGCAAATACCAGCTCTGGGGAAGAACACTCATACTGACGGATTCTTTTGACTCTTATCTCAAATCTATCTTCTTCTGCTATATTTTTTTGGATCATTTAATAGAAACATAATTCTCTTCCACCAAAACACTGTGTTATACAAATGCACATGAAACCAGACTCTCAGCAGTTGTGATGTGGTGGTAATTCCCTTATAATTTTGGTTAGGGACCTGAAAAACCACAGCTAAAATTTCCATTTTCGGAGAGAGTATACCTATTGGGCAGACTGTGAGCATCCTCGCTGTCCCCTCCTCTGCCCCCATCTGATACATGCACAGTGCTATAGCTGGGCTCTGAAGCATCCCGCAAATCTGTGTATGAAATGCCTGGGCTCCACTGTGTGGCATGTTTGGGAAGTGGTTTGTTAGAGAAGTTTAGCTTATTGGCAACATAAAACTGAAGAGGATATAGGTACCCTGGCTCCTTCTCTGGATGGTTATGAAGTGACCACATCCTCCTTTGTCACATGCTCCCTCATCTGCGTCAGTTATCAGAAGTGTTCTGTCACAGTGATGGAAAGCTGACTTACACTCAGCATGGTCATCAGTTGCTGTCTGCCCTCGGCTTTGCATCCATCTCTCAGATGTTGTATTTGGTCCAGCTTTGGAGTGGTTCTGCTCACAGTTGTAACTGTACCCTGCCCACCTCTTCCTGCTACTTCTTTGCATTACTTCTATACACAGTGACCAAAAATGCAAGAGCAGTGACATCAGGGAGGGGAGATTTATTTCTGCTCTTGATCTGAGAGGGTGCAGTCCATCATGGTGGAAAAGCACTGTGTTGAGAGCCTTGGAAGCAGCTTGTAGCTATGCAGCTGGAGTGGGAGGTAGCTGGTTTCACTGCCCTGGCAGGAAGACAAACGGCCTAGAACTCTCAACTCCTCTGTATATCTGACAACTACTTCCCATTCCTAGGTACTTTCTGTTGCTATAATAAAACAGACCCAACCCAACCTGAGGATGAGCCGGTTCATCTCATCTCATAGCTCACAGTCCACCATGAAGGGCAGTCAGAGAGGATCCTGGAGCAGGACCTGAAGCAGAGGCCATGGAAGAAGGTTGCTTACTGGCTCACTCCCCTTGGCATGCTCAGCCTGCTTTCTCTCTAACCCAGGACTACCTGCCCAGAGGTGGCACCACCCACAGTGATCTGGGCCCTCCCACATCAATCATAAATTAAGAAAATGCCCCAAAGACTTGCCCCAGGTCAATCTAATGGAAGCATTGTGTAAACTGAGGTTCTCTCTTCCCAGATGATCCTAGCTTGTGTCAAGTTGAAAAGAAAAAACAAATCCAAAAACAAACAACACCAAAAAACAATCAAACAAAAAAACCTGACTGGCACCACTCAAAACTGGGCGACCTGCTCGAGACCAGGTGTTTGAGCATGAGGCTATGGGGACATTTCATAGTCAAACCAGAGCAGATAGACTCCCTCCTCTAACCCCCCCCCACCCTTCCACCCCACCCCCACATTTCATCTGTAACTGTCCTAACTCTATGCCTTTCCTGTCTTGCCCAGAACTTTACTTCAAAGCTATCATTTGCTCCATAGATAGTACTGCTAACTTCCCTGAGCACCTGGTACCTAGCTATGTGGACACAGAGCACTGGTCTCCTGTGAGCTCCAGCTGACAGGAGAAGTGCATATTCTTCAAGACTAGCACACAAACACAAGTGGCACAGCAGGGAGAGGATATGGGAAGGATGTGACAGAGATGAAATCCCATCGACCTTGAGAAGCATGGATGTCTGCCTGCTGTCCCCTCCCCATCTCTATGGGTGCAGCCCTGTAGTGGCTGGCCTGGTGACACAATGTCTCTCTTCCAGGCATTGAGATAGAGCTCATAAAGACTATCCAGAATGCCTACGATATGTAGAACCTACTGGATTTTTGAGAATAGAAACCTCATCTTTCAAACTAGTTGCATACATAGGATAAAGAATGTGTGGGAGCTTGCTCACCTCAGAGAAACAGGAAGGACTGAGATGAGCAAAGGGTAGACAGACTTGATTTAGCAATGAAGGGCAGACAAGGGTCTGCCATGCAAGCCCCTGACCCAGAACTTACCGAGTGCTGCACAGGCACCCTCTGTTTCCATCCACACATCTTGCAAGGTAAGGTTATTAGTTCTGTCTTACAGCTGAAGATCCTGGGACACAAAGCAGCCAGCACACAGTTCAAACTCCAGTCAGCCTGAGTTCAGACTCCAGCACACAGTTCAAACTCCAGCCAGCCTAAGTTCAGACCCCAGGCAAAAAAGCAGCACACCTCCTGGCCCTGCCAGAGTTCACACGGAACTGTAAAGTGTGTGAACAAAATGTGACACCATGTCTTAGTTAGGGTTTTACTGCTGTGAACAGACACCATGACCAAGGCAAGTCTTATAAAAGGCAACATTTAATTGGGGCTGACTTATAGGTTCAGAGGTTCAGTCCATTATCATCAAGGCAGGAACACGGCAGCATCCAGGCAGGCATGGTAGAGGAGGAGCTGAGAGTTCTACATCTTCATCCAAAGGAAGTGAGGAACACACTGGGCATCCTTAGGCAGCTAGAAGATCTCCAAGCCTACCCCAACAGTGACACACTTTCTCCAACAGGGCCACACCCCCTAATAGTGTGACTCCCTGGGATAAGCATATGCAAATCACCACACACCAGGTGTTCCCTGATCAGGCAGGGGAGGCAGATATGTCCTCACTTGCTCATCTGGGGTATGGGGAAGACCATGAACTCACATCCCTTCCACAGGGAGTAGGAGGAAACAGCCTGTTAAGAACTGGGGTGTGTTTGTAGGAGATAACACCTATAACTGTAAAGATGGCTTCGCTGGGAAGAGCACTTACACACAATAGATAGCTGAGTTTCATCCTCGAACCCGCTCAAGTTGTCCTGTACCCTCTGGGTGTGAGCCGGGCCACCCATGCTCTCAAACTCTACGTAAGTCATATACAGAGCCCCAGCCTCAGTGCCAGAGAGAAGGCTGAGGTTACCACGTGTGAACCTGACGAGGCTGTGACCTTACCAGAGCAAAGCCAGAGAAAACTTACAGAACAAGACTTCTAAATTCTTAATCTCTGGAGGGTGGGTGGTGTCTTGGTTAGGGTTTTATTGCTGTGAAGAGACACCATGACCATGGCAGCTCTTACAAAGGAAACATTTTACTGGGGCTGGCTTACAGTTCAAACGTTTAGTCCATTATTGTCATGGTGGCACACAGACAGACATGGTGCTGGAGAAGGAGCTGAGAGTTCTACATCTTGATCCGAAGGCAGCAGGAGACATGCTCCACACAGGGCATAGCTTGAGCATAGGAGATCTTAAAGCCCAACCCCACAGTGACACACTTCCAACAAGACCACACCTACTCAAACAAGGTCACACCTCCTGATAGTGCCACTCCCTGTGGGCCAAGCATTCAGACACATGAGTCCATGGGGGCCATTCCTATTCAAATGACCACATTCCATTTCCTGGCCCCCACAGGTTTGTAGGCATAAATAACATAATGTAAAATGCTTTTAGTTCAACTTCAAAAGTTCCCATAGTCTATCACACTCTCAACAATGTTTAAACGTCCAAAATTCAAAGTCTTCTGAAATTCAATCTCTTAACTATAATCTCCTATATCAAAATCAAAAACAGATCACATACTTCCAACATACAGTGGTACAGGATATACGTTATGGCTCCAAAACATAGGGAAGAGAGCACAGTTAGGAAATACTGAACCAAGGCAAGACCAAAAGCCAGCTGGGCCAACTCCAAATTCTGCATCTCCATGTCTGATGTCAAAACGCTCTTCAGATCTCCACTCCTTTCAGCTTTGTTGACTTCATTCTCTTGGGCTGATCCCACTCCCTGTTAGCAGCTCTCCTCAACAGCTATCCCACAGCTCTGGTATTTCTAACCTCTTGGCTCTCCAAGGCAATCCAGGCTTCACCTTCAGTTCCTCATGATGGCGCCTCTGGGCCTCCATGCAGGCCCATCCGCCACACAGCTGGCTCAGCAGCTTTCCTTCTTCACAGAGGAAGAGTCCATAATCCCTTTCTCCTATTCTTGGCTTGAAAGTCAGAACCACATGCTGAAGTTACCAAGTTCTGCTGCTTGCTGGGGCTGGACATGGCCCCCTTGTTCAATTACATCTTCACCAGCTGTTATTCATGGTTTCCTTCATTGCCTAAGCTTGGCTGTCCTGGATCTTTCTCTATGGACCAGGCTGACCTTAAGCCCAGATATCTGCATGCCTCTGTCTCCCAAGTGCTGGGATTTCAAGTTGTGTATCACCATGCCTGGACCTAAACTGTTCTTAGATTCTCTACGATGTCAGAAATCATTTAATTCTGTTTTATTATTTTTTATAATTTTATTGGTCTTTACAGTATCTCAAATTCTGGTATTAAGTAAATATACTTATCATTCCTTAAAAACTATTTTTTTGATAAAGGGTTTCCAAGGGTTGAGATACAGCTTAAGAATAGTCTTGTCTGAATTGCCAAGAATGTTCAATGCCAGCAATGAAAAGTAAGGGAAGGGGGCTGGAGAGATGGCTCAGCGGTTAAGAGCACTGACTGCTCTTCCAGAGGTCCTGAGTTCAAATCCCAGCAACCACATGGTGGCTCACAACCATCCGTAATGAGATTGGATGCCCTCTTCTGGTGTGTCTGAAGACAGCTACAGTGTACTCATAAATAAAATAAATAAGTAAATCTTTAAAAAAAAAAAAAGAAAAGTAAGGGAAGGATGAAGAGATGAAGAGCAAATAGACTTTGCACAGAGTGAAAATCCCAAAGGGGAAAGCTGTGGGGTGGGACGGCACAGCATACACGGGCAAAGTTAGGAGACGAACAGAATGGCAAGGAAGTGAACACCTTCAGTACGGAGATGCATTCACATCTTTATTACAATTTCCCAGCATTCTGAGTCACAAAGTCTCTTTGACAACAGGGAAACCCATATTTAAACTCATAGCCAACTTTCATCTTTAAATGACTGTTACAGGGTTGTGATTTAATCACGATTATAAAAAAAAAACTGTGCAGGTACCTTTAAAAAAATTGCTCCTGTCTTTGGTCTCCAAGTGTCCGCCTCAGAACCTTAAGGGACAGAAGCCAAAATACAGACTGCTAAATAAAAGAAAATCCAACTGATGACACAAATATTTAAAAAAAGACATCACGTGGTTTCCTTGTAGCAGTTAATTCTTAAGAACGTACAAAGGCAGATAGTGAGAACAGGTCCATTGAAACTTTATTGAAAATCTTGATTTCAAGTAAAATTGCATGAGACTGTAGGATAAAAATGCAGTCCAGCCCTGCCAGCAAACTAACTCATTTTCCTTGTTTGCTCGAGCCTCCAGGCACCCGTCAGATACCGAAGTCGGATAAAAAGCAGGTCTTTGCCCATTTGTAGCCAGCTCCAAAATGGAACTAACTTAGAACCTGCAATTAAAAAATAAATTAAACTGGGAGAAACATATAGTAGTTTAGAGCTGTAAAGTCAGGCTGGGGCTGGGGCTGGGGCTGGGGCTGGGGCTGGGGCTGGGGCTGGGGCTGGGGCTGGGGCTGGGGCTGGGGCTGAAAGGTAGAGCAGTTTTCTACACATGTGAATGCCTGGGCGTGCACACCCTCACACACTCTCACATACACATACACATGCCTGCACACCCTCACACACTCACATGCGTATGCATGCACACACACACAAACATGCTCACACACGTGTGAGACATTGCATGTGGTGGGAGAGTCACTGACCTTTGTGAACATCTAGCATTTTAAATATTTACTTTTCTTTTTTAATTATAAAACTGAAGTTGTTCTCCTCCCAAATAAAGCCAGGTCTGTGAGGGTGAAGAGACGCAGGCGACTCTCAAGTGTGAAAGTCTCACAGGTCACAGGGAGAAGGGACTGTGCACAGAGAATGCACTAGAAACTGAGTGGCAGCTCCTTCTGGATGGCTTAGCTCTACACAGTGCTTTGTTAGTACTCAGCCTGAGGACCTCGATACTGGAAACGTGGGTCAGGAGGAGGCCCACTGAAGACTCAGAGAAGAGTCTGGAAGAACAGCAGGAGGGAGTCTAATGGACCATAGAGGAGGCTTGGATGAAGGAGAGGGGTGAACACGAGCCAGCAGACTCAGACAACAGCACTGCCTGGTTAAGGACCAACTGTAAATAAACAGTACACTTACCCTCAATTTCTGTCCAGTTGACAGCAACTTCTGCTATTGGGATTTGAAGAAACTGTGCTATATACAACAGTTCTACATCAAATGCCCTGAAACAGAAAGTATATTGATATTTATTTTAAAAAGGACAAGTTGGGGCACCAATCAGGGCAGGTTTTGAGGCTTCCCAGACATATCCAAAGCTTCTATGTAAAACTGAAGGCCAGACCCACAGAGGGTCAAGTAACTGACAGTGAGTGGACCAGAAACTTCCGGGAGAACAAGATATCCAGTGTGTGGTCACGCAACATTTAAGTGAGAATGCTGACCCTCAGCCAGAGCTCAGAAACCCTTGGATGAAATCGGCCTTGCGTGTTCACATAGACTCCAAGACAGCCACTTTTTTCTTGGCTTTACCCATATCACCATAGCCAGGGACCCGGGCTTCCTTTCTGATTCAGGGTCCCTGTCCCCTCCCAGTGCTACCTGGAACAGGGTGGGTCCTGGCAGCTGTGGAAGCCTAGACTGGAAGGCTCTGGGTGTGACAGGTATACCCACAGGGGTTACTCTGTCCCCACACGCACGGTTACAGCCTTGCCTTGCTTGGATCCCTCCTTTCATCCAGAACTAGATCTGCAGATCCAACACATTCACCATGAAAATAAAACTAGGCAGCAAGAGCCAAGGAGACTTGGCCACAGCCAGGGTCAGGGATTCAGAATGCTGAGTAAGCCTTTGGGGACTGAGAGTCACAGTATGGGACCCAATGGACAGACACCTGCACCTGAAGACCATCTACTTTATATTTCACCCGTGTTAATCTAGGAGATAAAGATTTTAAAACACACAGACAGCCGGGCGGTGGTGGCGCACGCCTTTAATCCCAGCACTTGGGAGGCAGAGGCAGGCGGATTTCTGAGTTCGAGAGTTCGAGGCTAGCCTGGTCTACAGAGTGAGTTCCAGGACAGCCAGGGCTACTCAGAGAAACCCTGTCTCGAAAAACCAAAAAA